GCCTGCTGCACCCCACCTGCCGCCCCTTGCTTTCCTGCACCCTCCCGCGTCCCCAGGGGGTGCAGTTCAACTGCACCTAGGCGCCCTCACACACCTTCCTACTCTGAGAGCTCCACCCCCCCACCCTGCATCCTGGGCACACAGGGAAACTGAGGCACAGAAGAGGGTACAGTGGCCCCGAGTCCGGGCCACGCTGTCATTGACAGCCCAGTGCGGCCTCCTCACCACTCCCGCCCCGGTCCCGCGGGACCTCTCTGGAAGGTCAGCAGCATTCCCACTTGCTCATTCCACAAACATGCGGGCACAAGCACTGCCAGGCAGCCATCGCCGCAGGGCACAGTGCTAGGAGGGTGGGGTGAGGGTGCCTAGGTCAGGCACAGGTTCCAGGGCCCTGCTAGATCAAGTACATACACACACACCCTCCCCCTCCACACGCTCCGAACTTGTTTGTGCTCTTCCACACCACCCCACGCACATGTCACACACACACAGATCTACCCCCGCGATACAATCATGAGGAGCCCTGGTGGCATAGTGGTCACGGATTGGGCTGCAATCTGCAAGGTCAGCCGTTCTACCAGCTGTTCTACCGGAGAAAGATGGGCTTTCTGCTTCCGCAAAGAATTAGAGTCTCAGTCTCAGAAACTCACAGGGGTAGTCCTGCTCTGTCCCACAGGGCCGCTGTGAGTGTTTTTTTATACATGTCACTTCATTCACAGTAACTCCAAAAGCTTCCCCAAACCCACCAAGTAACAGATGATGTAACTGAGGCTCAGAGAAGCGGCATCACACAGGTTCTGTGACTCCCGGTGTTCCCCTGCCCTGCATTCCCATCCCAGCATGTGCAGGCCCCGTCAATCCTGGTTTCTGGAAGGTGACTACTGTCAATATTACTAACACGCATGGCATTGCTTAGGGTTGCCATGAGTCGGCATCACCTTGCGGGCAGGGAGTTTGGTCTTTCACTTCGTGCTTAGTGTGTACCAAGCATTCGCTGCACAGTTCATAGGAATCAACTCAGTTAATCCTCTTAAGCTGGAGGGAGACTGAGGCATAGTGAGCTGACTTGCCCACACAGCCAGGAACTGGGGAGCCAGCCCCGCCTGTCTCACATGCTGATTGGCCAGTGGGTCTCCCTGACTTCTTTAAAGCCTTGGCCTTTTCTGTTTGTCCTGCACAGTAGTTAGGGTAAGTGGGCACGTTCTAGTTCAGTTGCTGGCAACGGCACCTTGATGACTTTCTAGTACCTTCTTGGCACCTGACGCTACCTGAGTTTGTGCCCCTGACGGAAGCAGTGGTCAAGAAATCAAATGATGTATTGCATTGGGCAAATCTGCTGCCAAAGACTTCGTTAAGGTATTAAAGAACAAAGCTATTCAAGATGTCATGTTATACCCAATCCATGGTGTCTTCAGTCACCTCATAGACCCACAAAAACTAGATAATGAGTAGGGAAGACCCCCCCAGAAGAATGGATACCTTTGAATCCTGGTGTTGGCGAGGAAGATTGAACATACCATGGACTTCCAGAGGAAGGAACACATTTTGTCTTGGAAGGACAGCCAGAATGCTCCTTTAGAAGGAAGGACGGCAAAAGACTGGGTCTCATGTACTTAGGACATGTTATCAGAAGGGACCAGTCCCTGGAGAAGGACACTGTGCTCGGTAAAGTAGAGAGAGGGTCAGGAAAAAAAGAGGAAGGCCCGCCACAAGAAGGCATGGCACACGACTACAAAAAACAAGCTCAAACAGCAGCCGTCGCGAGGCTGGCGCAGTGTCTCGTTCAACCACACGTAGCATTGCTTCAACTCGAAACAGACTCAATGGCCCCTGACAGCAATGATAACCGTAATAATGGCTTAGAGTTTAAGGTCGTATCTTGTATATGCTCAGTGTCCCAAGGCCTCCCTGAGACAAACACCCCACACTCGGACTCATACACGGGACGTGCACTGAGAGGGTACCCGTGGGTGTCCACACCAGTCCCAGTCAGATGACCCATAGGCCCTTTCCCCACCCACCCTCAAACACGCCCATCACAGATGGGGGAGCGGAGTGGGGAGAGGGGGTAACTTGAGCCCCTGGTCCCCAGGAGAATCCAAGGGGCTGGCACATTCCGTCGCAAAAATAACCAATGGGCAGCAGGCGTGACTGACAGGACAGCTGGGCCCAGGAGGGGCCGCAGGAGTCTGTGTTCCTGCCCTGGGCCTGCGAGG